TTCTTTTCTTTTCTGTCTTTTCTGCTGGCAAAGCATTAAAATAATTGGATAAGGCATCCGGATGATCTATGTTGTGAATATATTTGGCACTCACATCTGACTGCTACTGCAGAACTGTCACTTTTTGCCACCAGGTAGGTTCTGCCCACAAAACAGGTCATCACTGTTTACAAACACCTGATATTCTTAGGTAAAAAAAAATACATACAGTTGCTTTAAGCTCACTATTAGTTGATAACTCTTCAGTGAAATTCATTGAGAGATGCCTGCAGAAATACACACAAAAAATCACGTAAATGGTATATTTTAATTTTGCATTCAAAATAGCAAGTATTCCTTTTGTCGTTGTTTTTTAAAGGGTCCAAATAAGTTTACATTTCAACACAAAAACTCAACTTATGTCAAGATCATGATAAAGTTAAATGGATCATGCCACGACAAGAAAGAAAAATGAATAATGCATGTCCTTTTCTGTACATAGAATGTTAATTTGGCGTAATTAAAACTATAATGTCCAGCTCCCCTCAATCCTGTTGGAAAAGCTAATTTGGCTAGAAACGCAGGTTTGTGTTTGTGAGTGCAATCAACAAGAAGTACCAAGAAAAGCTGCACTGTGTAATGCTGTTGGCTGCCAGGTGGAGAGAGTGTGGATTGTCCTTCAAAGCCCAGGAGTGAGCCAGGATTGCTATGGTTTGAAAAAGACAGAAATTAGCATATCAGTTCTAAATGGGATGGACATTTCTATCTTCTTTTTGGTTTCACAGATGCAGCCCACACTGCAGCGTCATGTTCCTGAGTTTATGCAGCATTTGAAGAAAGAAATCTCTGATCTGTAATCAATGTAATGAAAATGCCCAGCACAACTGATTTAAGTGAAATAATAAATGATCGACTGTGTTGATAATTTTATCTTTCATCTTTTTCACCTCTCTCTAGTCTGTCTTCCAGTAGTCAGTTATCTTGTAAAGGGTTATGAGGGCATTTTGAACTGAAATACTCTGGCATTTCCAGCACGGGTTCCCACTGAACCGCAGTGCTGTCTGCCACTGTATGTGTCCAGGGAACAGTGCGCTCAACTGGGGCTGGAGATGATGAATGTGGCCCTCGCACCACTGGAGGAAGCCTCCATGTGTTTCAAGCTCCATAATACACCTACTCATTCATCTCTCTCCCTCTTTTCTCTCTCCCTCCCATCCAGCACAACATAACCACATGCTCTCTCGGTTATTATGGCTTGTATTTTCTCTCTGATGGACAGTGGAGAGAGGAACACTCTGTGGATGCATCTGTGAAGGTGCGTATAAACTGTCTCCTCAAGCTCCTCTTCCTCTTGAGTGAGTAGCAGCAGCGCTCATTCCCTCTCGTTTCTTTTCTTTATCTGTCTTATTTTAGACCTGCGATCTCATTACAAGGCTCTTGGTTAATTTTAAAGGCTCGATTGGACAAGTTTGAAAAGGAATGACTAAAACTGAAAGTCAAACCATTTTTCTTCTTCTTCCACCCCGCAAACACGCCGCAGGAGTGGCCGCCGAGCCCAGTTAAGTCTCTTAGCATCTCACCCTCCTGCTGAGAGACACGACAGATCAAAAAACCTTCACTCTGCACTCTCCATCTCTCATCCCCTCCCTTTATCTGTCTCTTTATTTCTTCCACTTATTCCAATTCTCTCTTTTAATTTCTTTCCTTCCCTCTTCGTCAATCCTCTCCTATTTCGGTCATCTGCTTTCATGTGGCAGTTTGAGAGACTGACTGGAGAGTGTTTCTGGGGTGTGCAGAGGGTGGGGAGGTGTAAACGAAAAAAGGATGATGGATTGGTTTGTTATGCAAACCCAAGCATGTCTCATCCCTCCACCCCAGATATGCAATGTCCTTTCTGCAGTTTCATAAACTGACTAATTATTAAAAAATATGCAAAACCATTCAAATTTAGACAAGGCTTTTGTGTAATTAATTTAACCCTTTCTTCAGTGATTTCTCCTTTTTTTCAATTTAGCATAATTCCATTTACTGCCATCAAGTTTGTTTTCCTGAGAAAGCTCAAGGACGATTTCACTTTTTTGTTGACACATGCTTCCATCTAGTGGCTGGTGGATGGTACTAACCTGCAGGACTATAATAAATCATTGGTTTATTGTTTTAGTCATATATATTCCAGTTCAATCTTGTATTTTAGCATTTAGACACATTGTTAAACAATTCATGTTAAGAACAAGGTACAGCATAACCTTCAATTATTTTGGCAATTCTGGGAAAAAAGAAAAGAAAAAAATGAAAAGAAAAGAAATGAAAATAAATGTTCATTGGGTATTATTAGGTTTACAAAAAATATATTATTAGGTAGTGACCAAATTAATATGTTTAGAAATGGCAACATTGGAGATTTCAAAAGCTATCATACTAGTGCAGAGCTTTCCAATATTATTTACACAGTGTAAATGCTGGATATTTAAAGAGACACAGCTCAGATACATAAAGTCAGTGGAATAGCATCTGTGTAAAATAAAATCATATCTGATCTAAATACATTTTAAACCCATTAAATAGTTGATTCTTATCATGTATAATGGTTTATGTCACAACATTGCCAGTTCCTAGTTCTGTATTCAGGAATTCAGGAATTAAATGCAGTTTATGCATATTGTTGAGCAGTTAGAAAACAATTCTGGTTTATTTGAGATTCAGCTCATACAGAGAATATTTATCTGGTCACTATTTACATTTATCATCTCACTAATGTGATTAATATGGATAACATGATTGGGTCTTTATATTTACTGTACGTTATAGAAAAGATCCATGTCCACAGTAGTTCAGAAGACTTCATGTACTGAATGTTTGGTGGTATTTTGGGATGGAAAGTCAATGAGATGAGTGTCATTACACATGATAAAACCTTTTATAACTGACACTTACATTCATTCCTCAAAGTTTATATATAAATATATATATATATATATATATATATATATATATTTCACAATTTGAGTTGAATTACTGAAATAAATGAACTTTTCCACGACATTCTAATTTATTGAGATGCACCTGTATATATATATATATATATATATCATTTATTTATTTCTTTATTTTTTATCAGTTTTATTAAATTTTTTATTAAATTTTCTTTATTGTGTCAGTTCTTTCAGATAATATTTTAATGAAATTACCTTTGCATATAAGATCATGCAATTATCCTCAAGATATTTCATATCAGTAAAAAAAACATATATATGTGTGTGTGTGTGTGTGTGTGTGTATATATATACAGTATATTGTTTGTTTTTAACCATAGGTCATGTACTTTATTTTTAAAAAATCCTTGCAATTTTTTTTTACAAACAGAAGGGAAGGTTTGCTGTCACAGAATCCCTGACCACCATTTGTCTTTTTAGCTTTAAGTATTGATGTCTTTTGAATCCATTTCAGAACAGCACTTTGTTTCCTGTGCAAAGTCTATTTGAAAAAGGACATGGGCTACATTTATTTGAAAGCAATCTATTTATGTTGGTTCCCCCATCCTACACTTTCAAAATGGTACAAAAGCTGTCACTGGGGCGGTATCTTTATAAAAGGTTTTGTTCCTTTTAGGTAAATATGTACACTTAAGTACCAATATGCACACTTCAGGTATAAGGCGTACCTTTTGAAAGGTACCAGTGACAACTTTTGAACATTTTTCTGAGAGTGTAATGAATTCTTCTTCTAAAAAACAGTTCAGGGGACATACACCATGTGGCTCTTTGTAGGTGTAACTACACCTGCTTGTTTATGTGAATATTTATAATATATCTGTAAAATATAGGTATTTACATTAGATATATAGAATTAATTATATTTTATAATATTTTGTTCTTTTAAACATTAGCTTTAGTCTCAGTGCTCAATGATCTCAATGTTGCTTGAATAAAATACTCAACTTGTATCACAACTATTCTTTAATGCATGTGGAACATGCATGAAAAAAATAACACTTTTTGAAAGTCTTTTGTACAAAATTAATTTAAAATAAATGTATAAATGTTATTGTAATTTTAACTGTAAAAGACTGCAAAAATGCTACAGTAAAAACCTGTTAATTGGTTAATGGTAAGTTCCCTTTATATATACAGTGAAAAACTGTAATAAATCTAATGGGACATTTCATGTAATTTTACAGTAGAATACTGTTACCATTTATGGAAATAATAAAAAGCAAGTCATCTTATAATTTACAGTGAAAAACCGTTAATTGACATTCTTCTTCAGGATACACATCAATTGTTCAAACAAGTCTTCTTAAACGATTAGTATGTGTATGTAATTTATATGTGTGTGCCTAACTGTGTGTGCCTTCTATATATATATATATATATATACAGTGGGTACGGAAAGTATTCAGACCCCCTTAAATTTTTCACTCTTTGTTATATTGCAGCCATACAGTCTCTGAAGGGAGGGGATCATGCTCTGCTTCAGTTTGTCACGGTACATGTTGGCATTCATGGTTCCCTCAATGAACTGTAGCTCCCCAGTGCCGGCAGCACTCATGCAGCCCCAGACCATGTTGTGATAGTTAGTTGTGATGAACTTCGATACATCATGCGTCTTTCTCTTTACCACATGTGTTATTACACTGTTAGACATTTCAAAGGGTTTTTACAGTAACTAACTGGCAACACTGTTGCCAGTAAGTTACTGTAATTAAGATTTACAGTAGCAAACTGTATTTGGTTTAAAGTTGCAAACTGCACTTTTTACAGTAAATTACTATAAAAAATTTAATTCATCGGTATACTACTGTAATTATTTCATTTTAATATATTTCATTAGATTTTATCATTTTTATATAGAATTAATTTTATTTTTACCTTACATAGGTACTACTGGCATTAAATTAAAACAGACACAATAATTACAAAATATCAAATTCTTTATTTAAAACATTGCATGTATAACACTTATAAATACAGTCTTCCAATGCTAGAACAGTGCATCTTCGTTTATCCTGTCTTAGGACATTTTGCAGTGCATTATGTTGTATCATCAGGATTTATCCTAACAAAGAATCTTTAGGCAACAGAAAAATAATGGGGAAAAAAGATAAGCAGCCAAAGAATACATAGCCATCTGCAAAACCCAGGTGCTGCTCCAAAACATGGCCACCAACTTTGCTCACCATCCACATTGTTAGTGACAGAAATGTCTTCTCTGAAAAACAAGTAGAAATGGCACACTTTTAAAAGGTAAACCCCATACAAAATACACAAACCTCTCAAAACCATAGTTGTTCTCTTACCATGAATTATAAGTCTCAGGGTGGCTGGCCTGCTCATGTCTTTCTTTATGCTTCATTGTAGTTGCCTTTAAAACACAAATACAAAAAAATGCAGTAAATCTTAAATTCCATTCAAATCTATAACAAACAAATTCTAAAACTAGAAAGGCAGCTAGCCATAAAACTTGTTTAACTTAGCTAACATACGATTTTATTTTCTCAATAGGCTACTGGCCAAAATTAACTACTAACACCTGAACAAAATTTCACATTAGTTACTATGTTGATACAAGACAAGCATTGCTCTTTAAAAGTAATTTTAATTCGGTAATTCAATAAGCTGACAAAAGTCATTTGAAATGACAGCGCAGTTTACCATAGTAAAATTTGTTACCGCTATGTTGACGGGTAAGTGTTACTAGGTTAAACTGGTGTGCAAAAATGTTGACACAAACGTACATATATTTTTTACCTTGCTTACTGGTCTTATTCTCTCGTAAGGTGCATCAACACAGCACAGATGTTCTCCGGAACTCTTCCAGTCTCGCGGGTTCATCCCCGGGTATGGGAAGCGAAACAACCCAAATGTGGGACGAAACGGTGCGGTATTCAAGTGTTCGCGCTTCGAGTGTTTGACCTGTCATAGGCGCGGCTCAATGGACCGAGCGGCGCGACCGACTCGACAGCGCAGAGAGGACGTGTTTACTAGCGCCACCGAGCTGACAGCGCGGCGCGGATCAGTTACAACAGCACAGCGCGAACATTACTCTTCTTCTTCTTCATGTTTTAAGGCAGGTGGAATCCAACGTTAAGGTGCATTACCGCCACCTACTGTGCGAACATTACTCTCCGCAGGAAAACACATTCAAATTAACCATGATTTTATGACACTAACCTTAACCATACATTTGTAGTTGTGGGTTAAAAAAAATGACAATCAAGGTTACTGCACTTTTACTATAGTAAAACCATTGTTAGTTTCCGTATTTCCATAAGGGAAAATTTTTGTTTTTACATTTTACTCTTTTTTTTCAAGCATAATCATATGCTACAGTTACACAAATATCCTTAAATGTAAAATTTACTTAAATATGCCTTGATGAACGAAACCATAAAATATTTGAATTCTAAGAGGATAATGGAAGTTTCTGCTGTGAACGTGACTACTAAATATAGGCTATACGTGCTTCAAAGTAGCTAACACTACTGTTTACATGTAGTAATATGAAAGATAATAAGCAAAAGAAATGTAATAACTCATTATGTTATGTGCAGGAAAAAAACACGAACTTCTGCGGAGAGTAATGTTCGCACAGTAGGTGGCGGTAATGCACCTTAACGTTGGATTCCACCTGCCTTAAAACATGAAGAAGAAGAAGAGTAATGTTCGCGCTGCGCTTTTGTAACTGATCCGCGCCGCGCCGTCAGCTCGGTGGCGCTAGTAAACACGTCCTCTCTGCGCTGTCGAGTCGGTCGCGCCGAACACTTGAATACCGCGCCGTTTCGTCCCACATTTGGGTTGTTTGGCTTCCCATACCCGGGGAAAACCTGCGGCGCTGCCTCGCTGGTTCCGTGTCTTCCTCGGACGCGAGTGGCGCGGCGCGGCGTGACTCTACTCGACAAAAGACAATATAGAACCCATTATACTATCTACAGTGGATGCATACAGTAAAGTGATGCCCCGGTATATTTCTGATGCACAGATTTACTCCAAGCGCTCGCACTGTTTCTGACACGAAGGACAAACGGATTTTCCAATCATCATTACAAGCGATGTAACATCCTGTGTAATCAGTCCCAAGCTGTTGGTGTTTGTAGACACGGTGTAAGTCAAATCTTGTCAATCCAAATGTGAGAAATGAGGAAAATAAAGCAGCCTCAATAGAATGGCGCCAAAGAGGCTGTTACGGCAAATACAGTAGTATACAGCAATTTTTAAAAATACAGTAAGTCACTGTATGTGGGGTTTGACGTCACAGAAAATTCCCATGATGCAAAGGGTATTACAGTTACTTACTGTAAAGCGAATTTGCAGTATTATACTGGGTGATATACAGTAAATAACTAGAAATTACAGAAATGCCTAACAGTGTATGTCGGTTGTCAGTATGTTACATTTTAATAGCAGCATGGCATTGCTAAATTAGCTAGAGATGAAAATGGCAATACCCACCTTATTGGCAAAAAAAAAGGTAATCATAAAGTAAACAAATGTATATAAGCATTTTACATTTCTCTAATTCTTACACCAAGTGTTTTTAGGACTATAAGTCTTCTTTTAGTATATTTATGTTTTGCTTCAGCAGATTATTCAGTGCTCTTTATTCAACATTGTTTGCAGTGTGAAACAAGCTTACCGTATGTGAGCTTTATGAGAGTATCACCAGTGTGGTACATATCTTCCTCAAAGATTATTCCATTCTTTGTAATCTTCCTGGCCTCTTCCCTTGAGCAATAGTAGAGACCAATATCTGCTTCAGTGATGTTCTCGATCACTAAGTCATAGGATCTTGAAGTATCGTCATAGAACAGAGTGAATCGTGGAATGGGTTGTAATAGGCTCTTGTATGCAGAGATGATCAGAGGTGGTCGGATTTGTGAAGAGCAGATCTTGACCCAATGAAAGTCCTGTCCTATGACAATCTCACAGTCACAGTGTAGAGTTGCATTATCTCCAGGCCTGACCACCACCTCCACCAGTGTTCCAGAGACTTTCCAATAAATGCAACTCAGTGCAACTACATTGAAACAGAAATGATGGGTTACTCAGAGAAAAATGCACATCTACAGTTACTTAGAAAACAATATATACACTACAAATGAAATATACATATTTAAATGAGAAATGTGAGGAGAAAACACTTACTGAGTACAGTGATAGAAAACTTCATGCTGGCCACAGCTGAATGTTTGGTGGTGCTTGTAGGTGATGCGTATGTAACTGTCAATGCTATTTTCCACAGTTTGACTTATGCACAGCTTAAACTTTAGTTTAATCGAAGCTAATTTAAGTATTTAAATAAATTCTTTTTCATTTTAATTTGCTCGCACACACTTACACAACACACAAAATAGCACGATTCATGTTTAAAAAATATTTCAATGTTTGTATTGAAAACAATGTTGTTATGCATACAGTAAAGTGATGCCCCGGTATATTTCTGATGCACAGATTTACTCCAAGCGCTCGCACTGTTTCTGACACGAAGGACAAACGGATTTTCCAATCATCATTACAAGCGATGTAACATCCTGTGTAATCAGTCCCAAGCTGTTGGTGTTTGTAGACACGGTGTAAGTCAAATCTTGTCAATCCAAATGTGAGAAATGAGGAAAATAAAGCAGCCTCAATAGAATGGCGCCAAAGAGGCTGTTACGGCAAATACAGTAGTATACAGCAATTTTTAAAAATACAGTAAGTCACTGTATGTGGGGTTTGACGTCACAGAAAATTCCCATGATGCAAAGGGTATTACAGTTACTTACTGTAAAGCGAATTTGCAGTATTATACTGGGTGATATACAGTAAATAACTAGAAATTACAGAAATGCCTAACAGTGTATGTCGGTTGTCAGTATGTTACATTTTAATAGCAGCATGGCATTGCTAAATTAGCTAGAGATGAAAATGGCAATACCCACCTTATTGGCAAAAAAAAAGGTAATCATAAAGTAAACAAATGTATATAAGCATTTTACATTTCTCTAATTCTTACACCAAGTGTTTTTAGGACTATAAGTCTTCTTTTAGTATATTTATGTTTTGCTTCAGCAGATTATTCAGTGCTCTTTATTCAACATTGTTTGCAGTGTGAAACAAGCTTACCGTATGTGAGCTTTATGAGAGTATCACCAGTGTGGTACATATCTTCCTCAAAGATTATTCCATTCTTTGTAATCTTCCTGGCCTCTTCCCTTGAGCAATAGTAGAGACCAATATCTGCTTCAGTGATGTTCTCGATCACTAAGTCATAGGATCTTGAAGTATCGTCATAGAACAGAGTGAATCGTGGAATGGGTTGTAATAGGCTCTTGTATGCAGAGATGATCAGAGGTGGTCGGATTTGTGAAGAGCAGATCTTGACCCAATGAAAGTCCTGTCCTATGACAATCTCACAGTCACAGTGTAGAGTTGCATTATCTCCAGGCCTGACCACCACCTCCACCAGTGTTCCAGAGACTTTCCAATAAATGCAACTCAGTGCAACTACATTGAAACAGAAATGATGGGTTACTCAGAGAAAAATGCACATCTACAGTTACTTAGAAAACAATATATACACTACAAATGAAATATACATATTTAAATGAGAAATGTGAGGAGAAAACACTTACTGAGTACAGTGATAGAAAACTTCATGCTGGCCACAGCTGAATGTTTGGTGGTGCTTGTAGGTGATGCGTATGTAACTGTCAATGCTATTTTCCACAGTTTGACTTATGCACAGCTTAAACTTTAGTTTAATCGAAGCTAATTTAAGTATTTAAATAAATTCTTTTTCATTTTAATTTGCTCGCACACACTTACACAACACACAAAATAGCACGATTCATGTTTAAAAAATATTTCAATGTTTGTATTGAAAACAATGTTGTTGTTGTTGTTGTTGGTTTTTTATTTTATGTTGTTTCTTGTTTAGTTTAATTTAATTTAGCTAATTACTGTATAATACAAAAGAATAACAGTTGTAAGGCAAAACTAATACAACATTCTACCTCAAAGTGTTTTGATGTATAAATAGGAGGCTGTACGTTGGTTTGGAGATGGAGGGAGACCAAGGGTGAAATTGGGTCAGTGTTTTGAGTGGCATACATATGTGGCGTCACATATTTTCCATGTTTCTGTCTGACGCACAAAGAAACCTAACCGCTGAATTTGTATCGGCAACTGAAAGTGAAAAAGGAAACTTTTAAAGGTTTCACATTTTTAAATAATTTTATTGTAGTCCAAGTCTACTTGTTTCAGTTTCTTGAAATCTACAGGTTTCTTTAAGGTACACTTTTGTTCCTTTTAGGTACTTTCTACAGGTTTCTTGAAATAATACAGTTGCCATTTATTTGTGCTGTGCTGTACATTAATGTTATAAACAGGCTGTTATGCTTGAATTATATGGCTGAAATGGTAGTAGTAATGTTTGACCTGCATAGTATTAGCCTATATAAATAGCCTACTACCACAGTATAGGCCTGTTTTATTATCTAGCCTAATTTGAAAACAGTGCACTAGATTTATATTTTTCCTTGTCTGCTAAACGTGCTGATTAAACTATTAACAGCTGATTAATTCATTGGCAATTGTTTTGTGAACAATTAAGTCTGCTATTACATGTTTCCCCCCAAATAGGACTTCCTTGTATATATATATACAGTGGTGTGAAAAAGTGTTGGCCCCCTTCCTGATTTCTTATTTTTGTGCATGTTTGTTACACTTTAATGTTTCAGATCATCAAACAAATTTAAATATCAGTCAAAGATAACACAAGTGAACACAACATGCAGTTTTTAAATGAAGGTTTTTATTATTAAGGGGAAACAAAATCCAAAACTACATGGCCCTGTGTGAAAAAGTATTTGCCCCCTAAACCTAATAATTGGTTGGGCCACCCTTAGCAGCAACAACTGCAATCAAGCGTTTGCGATAACTTGCAATGAGTCGGTTACAGTGCTGTGGAGGAACTTTGGTCCAATTGTTGTAATTCAGCCACATTGGGGGGTTTTCGAGCATGAACCGCCTTTTTAAGGTCATGCCACAGCATCTCAATAGGATTCAGGTCAGGACTTTGACTAGGCCACTCCAAAGTCTTCATTTTGTTTTTCTTCAGCCATTCAGAGGTGGACTTGCTGGTGTGTTTTGGATCATTGTCCTGCTGCAGAACCCAAGTTCGCTTCAGCTTGAGGTCACGAACAGATGGCCGGACATTCTCCTTCAGGATTTTTTGGTAAACAGCAGAATTCATGGTTCCATTTATCACAGCAAGTCTTCCAGGTCCTGAAGCAGCAAAACAGCCCCAGACCATCACACTACCACCACCATATTTTACTGTTGGTATGATGTTCTTTTTCTGAAATGCAGTGTTACTTTTACGCCAGACGTAATGGGACACACACCTTCCAAAAAGTTCAACTTTTGTCTCATCAGTCCACAGAGTATTTTCCCAAAAGTCTGGGGGATCATCAAGATGTTTTCTGGCAAAACTGAGACGAGCCTTTATGTTCTTTTTGCTCAGCAGCGGTTTTCGTCTTGGAACTCTGCCATGCAGACCAAT